AAAAATACGGTAGTAAAAAACGGATTTTCTGAGTAGAATAGTCTAATATTTTTGATTTGCTTCTATCCTAATATGAGAATGGATGTGTAACACTACCAGTATATTAAGTCTACTGGTATTGACACTAATTATTATTAACCTAATAAATTTCCAGTAGTATAATTTAACTACTTCTCTCACTGCTAATATTAATCAGGTTTATCCCAACTCTGTCATGAAAATGATAGACAAGATTGAAAATCGAAATTACATCGATTATTCTGATTATAATCGATTTTTTTGTGATTTACCTATCGTTCTTTAATTCTAGCGAAGTCATTAAATAAAAGCATCAAATCTGACAGGACATATGAGCGATATAAAATACATGTTTTTTTGTCATAACTGTATCTTAAAATAGAAACAATGATATCAGTTGTTGTCCTGAGGGGATTACAACATTCATTGAAAACAATACCGTATAAATGCAATATGTCTCCATTGTAATAAGCTAAGATGTCGAACACTTTTCAGAGTATTTATAGTTCATTTGAATCTATGTAATGCATGCAATCTCAATTTAATAGTGAATAATCAGTTGGAAAGCTTCTCTCGTTAGTTATTTAAAGTTTTTCAATCTTTATTGATAATAATCCTCGCCGAGCGATTTATATTTAGCAAAAAAAAAATTAAACAGAGTATTTAATTATTTAGATGGTAAATTAAGTCAACAATCAGGTCATCATGCACATGTACATTATCTTTTTAACAATCTTATTTCTAATTTATACAATCAACCATTATATCTTGATTTATTAAATACATGGAGAACTTTATATGAAGTATCATATAAATCTAATAGTTCAATCTATAATTCTGTAATTAATCATTCATTATTAAAAACAAAATCAATTCATTTTGAAATAAAAAATCCTAAATATGTATTTATTTTAACATTATGTATTTTAATTCTTTTATTATTAAATTTTTCTCTATGCATATTTTTGGCACGACGTGGACATGGTTGTCGAAAACGTGAATATAATTGTCTTAATGGACATACACAATTAAATATTGAAAAATCACAACAACAACAACAACAACAACATGGTGGATCATCACCATCAAGTACGAATAGTAATGGAACAATAACACAACAATTAATTGTTAATACAAATTATATAACAACAGATAGTAATCTTAGCAATACACCACCTATTGATATTTTACATCCAATAAATATAACAAAGAAGAATGGTATATTACGAAGTTCATCAATAAAAAAATCATCACTATTACCTGAAGCAATTGTATAGTTATTCCTATTTCGTTCGTTCGTTTTTTTTTTTATTTGTTTATTTCTTGAATAAATAAACTGTTTGAAACAGTGAGCAAAAGAATAAAGTGAAGTGTATGAATTAATACACAATGACAAAAGCGAAATAGATTGAGAGAGGAGAGAATAAATGAACACACACAAAAAAAAAAAAAAAAAAAAAGGAAGGGAGAAAGAAATCAAAAGAGACAACTAATGAAGCAATAGAATAAATGATTAATTAGGCAAAAAAAAAAAAAACAAAAGAAAAAGTATTTTGTTAGATATTGTCGACATCAATTATTTCTCCATTGAATTCAATTTTTTCATCAACAGGAGGCTTATTAACTGATTCAACTTTAACTTCAATACCACTACCAGCAGCATGTGTAAAATCGATCTAAAAATTAAACAAAAAAAATTATTTAAAAAAAAAAAGAAATTTTTTCTTTTCTCTTACTTCCGGTTCAGGTTTATTATCATCGTCATCATCTTCGTCACTTGACTCTTCAGCTGTACGTAACCATTGTATAAATTCATTAGACATTTCACGAATTTCTTTAGCTTTTGCTTTATTTGCAAAACGTTTTGAAGCTTTTTCATGCCATATATAAAATGTATCTTCTTCAATAATATCTTCATCATAAAATTTTAATAAAATTTTTGACATTGTTTTTTTATTAAAAATTTTTAAACGAATTTCATCATGTTCACCAATTAAAGCTTCAACTGCATGTAATAAATATTTTTGTCCTTTAGCATTTTTTGTACATAACTAAGAAATAAACGAAATAATAAAAAAAAAAATAAAAAAATTTTATTTATTTACTTTAGTTAATATTAATTTATATTCATCAATATCTTTTAAAATATTTTCTGTAAATACACATTGTCCAACAATAAATGGAGCTTGTTCCATAATTTCTAAACGTTCAGCTTCAGCAACAAGATCTTTTATTGTATCAATATCATTTAATTTTTGTTCGTTTTTCTTTTTCTAAAAAGAAAATTTCAATAAATTGAAAAACTTCTTTTTTTTGTTTTGGCTTACTTCAACAAGACGATTAAATTGATCGCAACGTTCAGGTAATGGTTTATCGAGATCATCAGTTTGAATCATACCTTTTATTTGATGATTTAATTCTGTTACAGCTGATGATAAATCATCACCCCAATCTTCATCATCATGATCACCATCATCATCATCACCACCACCACCAGTTTTTGATGTTCCATTCTAGATTACAAGAATGAATTTAAATTATTTATTTATTTATTTTTTCTTACTGCTTTTCCATTAGATTCATTTGGGCTTCCTTCATCTGAATCTCGATTAGTACCACTTGTATGACTTGTAGTTTTTTTATTTTTTGATCGATCTTTTGTTTTTGTTTCTGGTGCTGCTTCACTTTTTGTTTCCTATATATATATATTCAAAACAAAAAAAAATTAAATTAAAAATTATCTTTAATTTATATTTTACATACAGCATCTGGTGGATTTTTTGCAATATATGTTGTTAATTTATGTGATGCCATAATAATTGTACCTGAGTGACCACATGCAGCACATACTTGATGAATTTCACCACCATTTCGTTTACGTACATTCTAGACAAATATAAAATTCAACGATGTGCGTCAAGAAAAAATTGATTCTGATTCCAACAGAACTGGAACTATCTTTCTCATATCTACTTAACATGGTAAAAAACCTAGTCTATTTTTATCAGAGTTGTACCGAGCGGTGGGACTCGCACATCTCCAAAAAACTTTCATATCCCTTGCTTATCAACTTAAGCAAAACACGGCCCTCTGTTACAATCCTGATCATTCAAAATCGAAAAACTAAAACATACTAATTTCGTTTCGGGATTGTCACATTTTGGACAAAGTACAAATCGTTTAATAAAACCATCAAGTAAATTTTGTAATTTTTCACAATCATGTGCTCCATTAACAATATAACGATCTTCTTTTGCATTCATTTGGACTTGTGCACCTAATTCACAACCAAAAAATTTGGTTACATCTAATAATAAAAAAAATTTTTAAACAAATAAAATAAAATATTTTCTTTATATATTCTTACAAGTTGGTGGACGATTAAGAGCCTTAGCTATTGCGGATACATTAACCAAAACAGTTTTAATACCATTACCTGTACCTTCAACTTTAGCTGTAAGTTTTGGCATTTTATAACGATAAAACATATCGTTTGTTTGACGATTAACATTTATCATTGCCATGATTGTAATGTATTAGTAAATAAATTTATTTGT